ACAGCATGTATAGAATATGTAATCTTCTCTATCTCTGTTCAGCTAAACAAGTTTGAACTGATGTCTCCACCTTTAATCTACATGGATCGTTCTGGCCACTTCATGGTACAACAGAGAAAGCTGGCCCCAATGGTCCATCATCCATTTACTTAATGTTTCTATTCCTGTGTGTATGGTACCAGTGTCCGGACTGTTAACCTCCATGGTTAATAGCGGTATCAACCCAAATGTAGTGCTTATCTGCAGGTACTAGACCTAAAGTAACAAATACTAAGTTGGATCAAAGTCTTTCTGGGTATGACCCATGTTGTTAGAGACCTCAGTCATTTGGATCCCCAGTAACGTAATTTCACTGTCCAGCTTTGCGGTTGCTACTGTTAGGCGCTATCAAGTGGGTTCCGCCTTCTATCGACCCGCTATTCGGTGGGACAGACACTGCCTAGTCCTGTCTGACTTCAGCACTTAAGCAATGAAGCTGTGTTACAGCCTAGTCCTGTCTGACTTCAGCACTTAAGCAATGAAGCTGTGTTACAGCCTAGTCCTGTCTGACTTCAGCACTTAAGCAATGAAGCTGTGTTACAGCCTAGTCCTGTCTGACTTCAGCACTTAAGCAATGAAGCTGTGTTACAGCCTAGTCCTGTCTGACTTCAGCACTTAAGCAATGAAGCTGTGTTACAGCCTAGTCCTGTCTGACTTCAGCACTTAAGCAATGAAGCTGTGTTACAGCCTAGTCCTGTCTGACTTCAGCACTTAAGCAATGAAGCTGTGTTACAGCCTAGTCAGGTCGCTTATTGAGCTTTCTGTTTTAGTTTGCCAACAGTATCCAACATGATGTTCATTTTCTCCCCATAGGAAAAAGTTTTGGTATGAAAGTCCTTCCTTGGGATCTCACCTTGTAAGTATGAACTCACAGTAACAAACCACTTTAGAGTCTTGACTGGGGTTAGGTTCTGAAAGGTGGCAAAACTCTTTCCATTTCTATGATTTTGTAGTTGGGTGTGTGCTGCAGTATTGATTCCAACTCATAAGGATCCCATAGAAGGTTTTTGAGGCTGTAAATCTTTGTGCAAGCAGAAAGCCTCGTCATTCTCTCGTAGAATGCTTAGAGACTCAAACTGCTGACTTTGTGCTTAGTAGCCCAACTCATAACCCACTATATCACCAGGACTCCATCATTACAGTTACTTGCATTAACATGGGCTCTGATGTGGATCTGTAGGATAAGCATGGGGCTTCTGAGTGAAAGGTCAGCAAGTCACACCCCCAGCTGCTCTTGGAAACCGTATGCATGCTGACTGGTATGCAGCTGACTCGATGGCAGACAGCAACAGCAGTAGTAAAATACCTATGTTGTTGTGAAGTATTACGAGTCTGTTTCCACTCCATAGCCACTCTGTAGGAGGGGGTCTGAGAGTGGCTGGTAGGTTTGAACGGCTCACCTTGAAATGACCAGTCCAGTGCCACACCAGGGCTCAAATGATGTAAATTAGTAGATGTTTAATATACAGTTGGCACTGTACAACAAGCACTGGACTGCTTACCCACAAGGTTAGCAGTTCAAACCTACTAGCTGCTCCTCGCTCTATGGTAGTCAGGGTTGCTATAAGTCAGAACTGACTCCAGGGCGTTGAGCAACTATGTACAGTTGTGTGTTGCCTTTGTGTGTTGTTTTCCCTTTCGCTCCAAATTTGATTCATTTTGTTGTTGAGAATCTGCACAGCTGAACACACACCCATTGAACAGTTTGTACAGTTTAATGACAAGGAGGATGTTCTTTCTCACCCTCCTTTTCGGGGCTGTTCTCCCTCATTAGCATAAACTCAACCCCCCCCTCCCCCCCCAGCTTCCTGTCAGGTTAACTTACTGCTGTCAGTTTGATCCCTAGAGAAAGTTCCTGAAAGAGCTTCAGGCTCACAGCTCACCTTTTTTCCTAGTGAAGCTAAACTACTGTTAGTTTTAAGATGATCTCTGGGCAATAGTTTTAAGAGTTCAGCCTCCTTCATTGCTCCAGGAAGTCTAGAAGTTATGAGAATTTGAAATCTGCCTTTCCCCACCCCCATTTTGATCAGGATTCTTCTGTAGAGTCTATGATCAAATGTTCATTAATGGTTGCCAGGCACCATCTAGTTCTTCTGGTCTCGCAGCAAAGGAAGTAGGTTTTTCCTGGAGGTGATTAGGCACACGTCCCATGGTCACCGCCTCTTCATGACTCTCCTCCTTCCTCTGTTAACTCCAGGTGAATAGAAGCCAGTTACTGTGTTTTGGATGGCTATAAGGCCCCAGGTACTACACAGGGAATTAGAAGGTAGAACAGCACACCAAATACATTGTTCTTTACCTTTTTCTTTCTTTTTTTTTAATGTTTTTATTGGGAATTGGTAATCCTGGTGTGGCGCTGTGGGTTAATGCGTCAGACTGCAAAATTGTTTGAACTGCAAGGTCGGTGGTTCAAGCACACCAGCTGCTCCTTGGAAACCCTATACAGGGGCGCTATGGGTCAGAATTGACTCAGTAGCACTTAACAACAGCAAATTGTAAATTGAGAGAAAGTTTACCGGAAAGGTCATCAGTTCTACATTTAACAAATCATACACTTTGTTTCATTACAATAGGTTGTAATCCCATCCATGCACCATCAGTTAGCATTATTTACATTCATTTTAGCTCTTTTTTTTTTT